CGGGCGCGGCTAGCATCTTCGCGAGCACCCTGTCCAGGATCTTCGGCATGGGCGTCTGGCCCTCCTGCCAAAAGTCAAAAGAAGCAAGGGGGTGGCATCGGCGGCAGAACCGCCCTCGGCCGCAGCAATGGGCAACATCAACTCGACGATCAGCGCAAGCAAGAAATTGAAAGGGCAACGCCGGGAGCATAGGAAGGGGCGGGCGGGCGCAGTCGAAGGAAGGTTGCTGCGACGGCGAACCTCGAGGACGAACAGGCCGCCAGACGTCGGCCCAGGCCAGACAGCGGCCCATCAACTGAGACCTCTCCCCCCCGGGCCCCAGGCCAAAGATCGAATGGCGGAGGGCGCTGTTGACCTTGCCGCCGCCCTGTCGCGAGGCGCCGACCCCTTTCAGGGCCCGCTCGAACGACGCTGCGTCTTCGATAGGGCGAGGCGCGAGCGAGGCGAGGACAGCGGAAAAGGGGGCGAGGGGGGGGGGGGCAGGCAGCCCGAAGAGAGGCAGGGGACGAAGGACGACGGCACTGGGAAGGCCCCCGCTCCCCGCAGCCGCTGGTCGGTCCTTGCCCCCGAAATTATTCGACCTGGCGTGCGCGTGCATGGCCTTCGCCTTCTCGGGGACGGAGACGCCCTTCGCGTCCTGTTGGTACTGCGCGAGCTCCTGCGGGCCGAGCGGGCAGGAGGCAGGAGGCGGGGTCGACGTGCGGGGCGCGGGGTGGGGGGGGCAAACTAGGTGCGCAAACGTCTTATCTGCCGTCCTACCCCTCCCTCCCTCCCATCCCCTAACATGGCGTAGATCTTCTCTCTATCAACACAGTCGGGTGTCGTGGCATGGTGTAGCATAACATGTCGTTGAAGATCGTAGCATGGCATAGTGCGGCATGGCCCAGGGCCCAGGGCCCCTCCGCAGTCAAGCACTGCATATCGCATCATTGACTACGGAGGCGTGCCATCGCACAGCAGAACACAACATGTCATTGCAGTCATTGCATTTCACGCCGTCGAATAGCACGGGACTGAGGTCAGCGCTGCAGCGGGGGCGCGATTCGGAACGAGCGGGCCCCCGCGCGCAAAAACACAGCACGCGAAGGGGGCGCAGTCAGTCAGGGGGTCAGGGGAGAGCGGAGAGATATTGTAATGAGTGATTGCGAAGGGGTGCGGAGGTGAGGACGCGGGCGAGAGGAAGGGGGGCGCACGGGGCGACGGAGGCAAGGAAGGAGCGGGAAGAGGCGGGGGGGAGGATGGGCCCAGATGGGCCGATGGGGATCGCCTTCTCCCCCATGCTTCTCCCTCTTCCTGCTCCGATCACCCCCGGCAATGCAACAATGCATCTCCTCGTCCTCCCCCCCTGCCGCGGCGCCGCACCGTGACAGAAGAGCAATCAGGAGGAGGAGGAGGAGGAAGAGGAGAAGGAGGTCCAGGAGGAGGAGAATGCCCCCGACCCCCGACTCGACCCTCGGATCGAGGATCGATTCGCGACGATCGGGGCCAAGAGCCGCACGAACCCCCCCCCCGACCCCCTGGGGGCCCAAGGTCCAAGCACTCCGAAATCCGAGCAGGCCCAGAGCACCACTACGACCCCCAACCCTCAACCCTCGTGGCGGGCACGTCAGAAAACGACTCGGGACGAGGGTGCGAGGCTGAGCTGAGCATCCCCCCTCTCCTGTCCCCCCACTCAATGTCCCACTCTCCTCCACGCTGCCCTCGGCCCCCTCCGCTTCCTCCTCCTACTTGTTCTCCTCCCATTCCCTCGCTGACCACCCGCTCTTTTTTAACAAAAACCGCCCCGGGGAGGGCGGCCGCTTCCCAGCCGCGGCCCAGGCGCCCGAGGACTGGTCCTCCTCGGCGGCCTCGGCCTCGGCCTCCGCCGCGGGCCGCTTCTTCCCGGCCGCGGTCCAGTCGCCCCAGGCGTCGCCCTCCTCGGCGGCCTCGGCCTCCGCCGCCGCCGCCGGCCGCTTCCCAGCCGCGGTCCAGGCGCCCCAGGACTCGTCCTCCTCGGCGGCCTCGGCCTCGGCCTCCGCCGCCGGCCGCTTCCCAGCCGCGGTCCAGGCGCCCCAGGACTCGTCCTCCTCGGCGGCCTCGGCCTCCGCCGCCGGCCGCTTCCCGGCCGCGGTCCAGTCGCCCCAGGACTCGTCCTCGACCTCGGCCTCCTCCGCCGCCGGCCGCTTCCCGGTCGCGGTCCAGGCGCCCCAGGACTCGCCCTCGACCTCGGCGGCCTCTGGCTGCGAAGCGGCGCCGCCGCCGCCGCGGCGGCTCAGGCCCAGGCTGCGGCTGCGGCGGCGGCGCGCTGCTGGGCGCGCCTTGGCTGGCGCCTCGCGGGCCCCGCGGTCGCCGCCCGCCAGCGCCTCGGCCCCGCGGTCGCCGCCCGCCAGCGCCTCGGTGGGCTGCGCCATCGGCGGCGGAGGACCTCTCGGCGGACGAGGCTGCATCCGCGGAGGCTGCATCCGCGGAGGAGGCTGCATCATCGGCGGGCGCCGCGCCTGCACCGCTTGGCCCTGGCCTGCGGAGGAGGCTGCATCCTCGGCGGAGGCAGCGGGCCAGGCTGAGGATCACCTGCGGCGGGGGCGGGAACGCGGGCGGCTGCGGCGCGCGCCTCCAGACGCCCACCTCAGGCAGCGCAGCAGGAGGAGCTGCAGAAGGCGTCGCAGTCGACGAGGACGAGGAAGTGCACCTCCTGCTGCAAATTGCGGGCCACCTCCTGCAAATTGCGGTCCAGGAGTCGGCCAGCCGCACTATCTCCTCGGGGTCCGCCTCGCAAGATAACTGCGTCAACGCCTTCAGCACGTCCGACAACTCGTTGCAGACGGACGCGACGTCGACGCCGGCGGCCTCCAAGGACGCGACCGACTCCTGCTGCAGCAGCTCGCGGATCCCCTTCTAGAAAGGCACCAGCTATACACCAACACCGATCCTGGCCAGGATCACCCTGGGCCTGCAGGATCGGCGTATACGCCCTCCTGCCTTGCTTAAGAAGGCATATGCGGCATATACACCGATCCTGGGCCCAGGGTGGTCCTGGGCCAGGATCGGTGTTGGTGTATAGTTGGTGCCCTCCGACCTTCTCTGCGGAGGCGCAGATCTGCTGGTGGACGTCGTCCAGCGACGAGGTGCTGCTGCGGCCGGCCGCGAGAGCGTCCAGCTGGCGCCGGAGCCGGCGGACTTCCCGGCCGACGCGAGGCATGCAGCCAGCGCCGCAGCGGCGCAGCCGCGCAGAGGGCCCGGCCCAGCGGCGCAGCCGCGCAGCGCAGAGGGCCCAGCGGAGCAGCCGCGCAGAGGGCCCAGCGGCGCAGCCGCGCAGAGGGCAGCGGGCCGCGGGCGGGCCCAGCGGCGCAGCCGCGCAGAGGGCTGCCGGCGGGCGGGCCGCGCGCGCAGCCGCGCGGCCGGCGGGCAGCCGCGCAGAGGGCTGCCGGCGGGCGGCAGGCTTGGAGCCAAAACGGCTACGGAGGACAAATGAGCATAACAATCGAAAGATGTGGGCGGACAGGCGGACCTGCGGCCGCGTATATCGAGGATCTGGGAATCCAAACATACCTGCTTCCAACGGCGGGACGGCGGGGCCTGGTTGGGCCTGGGCCAGCAGCGGGAAGCGGAGACGAGGCTGAGGGGCAACAGGAGGAGCAGCGCGAGGAGGGCCATCAGCGGGAAGTGGAAGGATGAACAGGGGGGCTGGAGGAGAAGGAGGAGGAAGTGGAGGAGAGGAGTGGGGGGGGGGAATGAGAAGGGCAGCATCATGAACAGGGAGGCTGGAGGCTGGAGGCGAGGAGAGGAGGTGGAGGTGAAGAGAGGGGGGGGGGGCCCGCTTTCACGCATGGGTTGCGCTTTGAAGGCCCCGGGCTCCTTCAACGCCCACTGCATCACGATGCACCTCCGGCCGTGGCGCCGCGCGCTGTTCAGCGCAATCCGACCTGCGAGCGGAAATCGTTTGCAGCAAAGGCCCGCAAATGCATATGTTTGAATCGTCGTCGCCACCGGGAATGAGAGGGTGAACACGAGTGGGAGTAGAGGGAGGTGAGGAGATGAATCGGAGGATGGGCAAGGAGAAGAGTAAGAAGAAATAGCACATGGGATAAAGAGGAGGACGGAAGGCGGCAGAGGCAGAGGAAGAAGGAAAAGTGAAGGAGGAGGAAGGAGGAAAGAGAAGGGGGGGTACTAAAAGAGGGTAGGAGGAAGGAGAACGGATAAGTGATGTAAAAAACACTCGGCCGCCGTCGCTGCGGCCCAAAACACTCGACCATCGTCGCTGCGTTCCAAAACACAAGAAGGGTTAAACAACACAAGAGTGAGAAGAATGCGATCTATCCCATCATCGTCATCATCATCATCGCCATCATCCTCATCAGCATCATCATCATCATCACCATTCTGCTCGCCGTCGTCCGCCTCCTGCTCCTCCCACTCCTCCATCATGTTTCCTCGCCCTCCTCCTCTTCCTCCTCCTACCTCCTCCCGCTTCTCTCCAGCCCTTCCTGAACGACCGACTGCAATGCGCGAGAGGCTGGGGCGAGAAGTGGATGACCTGGAGACTTCTTCGCCTTGGGGTAAAAGGTGCCCATGTTCCCCAGGGCCCCCAACGTCGAGCCGGCGAGGGAGATGAGCTTCTTCTCGTCCATCGTCTGCACCATGACCGCTCGGGATTAACCCGCCAGGCCGTGGCGCCGCGAGCGCGCTCGGGGGGCGATCGCGGGAGGGGCGGCCAAGGAGACAGAAAACGGCCTGGGCCCCCTCGGCACAACGAGGACCAACGGCGGCAAGGAAGCCAGGTCGCACGAGCACAAGGGGAAAAGTGAGACGGGGCAAGGAGGGGTGCCGGGGGAGAAAGGGCGAGGGACTAAGAGCTGGGGTCGGGCAAGCGGGGGCGAGTGGAGCGGGGGGGGGAGGGCCAAGCGATGCCCGAACATCAGCCGAAGTCCGCACCAACGGTCGCACCGCCTGGTCTGGTCGACCCGATCCGACCGCATCGGCCCGAGGCTGACATTTCTCATTCGGGATCGGCAGCGGAGCCATCAGGCTGGCGGCTTGGCGAGGTTCTTCAGCAAAACCTCATCGCCGACGAGACGGAAGTTGTCCAGGAGGCTGCTCGGGGGGGCGTACTTGTAGATGACGTCGGCAAGCTCGGAAGCCCTCTGGTCAAAGAGCCCCGAGATATTCTGCTCCATCTTCGTTAGTGCCTTCACTGCCGTCGAACTCCTGCGCTGAATGCCCATGTCCTTGCCCCAGCCCTCCTGGGCCTCATCCTTAGACGCTGATGAACTCGTCAACCATGCAGTGTACGTGTCGAGCTGAGCCTCGAACTTCAGGAAGGTGTCCGCAACGCAGCCGGTGACCTTCAGTCTCGCGACGCTACCTGCTTCAATGTTGCTCAAGGTGTCGACGGCCGCCGAGACAACGAGGTTGTGCCGCTGGAGGAAGAACATGCGCCCGCTGTCAATGTCTCCGAGGCTCACGTCCTTGACCCGCTCGACTGCGCCAGCGACATTCACCTTCAGGGCGCCATGCCTTCCTAGGACCTCTGCCAAGTCAGGCGCGTGGCCCGCGGGCGCGTCGATGGCCTTCTCCACCGAGGTGATCACGTCGTCAGCAACCTTGCACGCCGCGAGCAACGTCTGCGCGGGCGCCTCGAGGGTTCGCAGGAGGACATCTGAACAGGCGGGCATGATGGAGGTTGTTAGGCACTACACAAATGTGGCGAGCTTGGGTAAGAAGGAGCCCATATCCGCAGACGAAGCCCTCGGGTCCTGCCAAGCGTCGAGCGGCGCAGTAATCTCGGATCTGCAATTCATGAAATTTTCGAACGCACGGCTCATCCTCTCGCATTTACAAGACGCGCACTGCAAACTGGACGCCGGCTGCTCCGACGACTTGCCTGCCGCTATAGCTGGGATGGTGCCGTCGGAATAAAGCAAAACGAACTCGTGTTCCCACTGTGCGGTCTCGCGAACCGCGCGCAACCACTGCTGCCGCATCTGCGCCTCGCCGTCAGGCCCCCCCTCCATCTTGCCAGGGCGCGGGCCCGGATCAATGGCGTCGACGAGGGCCTTCAAGAAGGGCGGGGGAAGGGCGGGGCGGGAACGTCAAACTCCCGGCCCTATCCTGAACAACCCCACGCCGCCCCACTCGCAGCGGAGGAGGAGGGGGGGGAGGAGGGGGAGGAGGAAGAGGAGGAGGGAGGAGGAGGAGGGAGGAGGAGCAGGGAAGAGGAGCAGGGAGGATGAGGATGACAGCGAGGAGGAGGAGGAGGAGGAGGAGGAGGAAGAGGAGGAGAAGGGAGAGGAGAAGGGAGAGGAGGAGGAGGAGGAGGAGGAGGACTGTTCTGCGAACTAGCCGCCATGCGAAGCGTAAACAAAACGAATCATTGATCTAGCCTCGGGGCCAATGGGACTGGACTACCAAACATGAAATCAGTTCCCCCTCCTCCTCCTTGCTCCACTCCCTCTCCCTTCCTCCTCTCCCTCCTCCTTCAAGCCCTGTATGTGTCGACAGGAAGAGCGACTGCTCCTGCCCCTTGTAGCTGCGGCGCGCCGTTGTCGCCCACGAGGAGCTTCTCTATCAAGTGGACTCCGCCCGCCCAAGTAGCGGCCACAACCGCGGACCGAACGGCATCGGCGTACTGGCGGGCATCCGCGGGGCAGAACTCGTTGAACATGTCCAGCCGAGCTTTGCCCTCCGTCGACTGTGGCCTAATCGTCAATGTCGAGGTGGTCAAGGTGGCCACTTGGTCTTCAAACGAGGGCTTGGCGCCCTCCTGCTGCGTCGATCTGGACAACGTCTCCGTTTCGGCCTTCACCTTGCGCAGCCAATCGGACAGCTGGGTAAACTCGCGGCGTCGCTCCGTGGCCATTTTTATCGAGGGCGCCCCGTGCTTGGGGGATCTGACGAAGTAGTTGGCTAGGTGATCGTCCTGCCCATCGGTGAATCGGAAAGTCGCGCGGGCATGCGGGCCGGGGGGGAAGGCGAGAGGCCGGAGGCAGCGGATGAACAGGGAAGGGCAAGAAGCGGGGGAAGGGGGAGAGGACGGCGGTCGAGAGGGGGGTTGGGGAACGGGGCAGCACCATTCAAGCGGCGAGGGTTGGCGGGCAGGGGGGCAGGGCAGCGCCAATTCGAACCTTGCTCTCACTACTCATCGCCATTCCTAACTTCACCCTTTGCCACGCCTGCCCTGTCCAGGCGCGCGCAACCCGCCCCGATAACCATGAGAGCACAGCAATGGCGCGCCTCGAGCCCCAGCCCCCAACGGACGAGGAGGGACGGGGAAGGAAGGGGAGGGAGGGGGGAAAGGTGGAAGGAGGGGAGGGAAGGAGGAGGAGGGGGAGGAGGAAAATGGGGGCGGGCATTTCGCGACCCAGGTCAGGCCATGGCCGCCGACGCGTCGGCCTTCGCCAGACGCTGCAGCGGCTCCACCTGGAACGTCGCCTTCGGCAGCTGGACGAGCGCCTGGGCGTCTCGCAACTGCGCCACAACGCTTTGGTCGCACTCCTCGGGGGCACTCGCGATCTGCTTCAAGTTAACATTCAACGCCTTGCCCAACTCTGCCTTGACGTAGCCCAACGGGCGCGCGCTCGTCAGCGCAGCCGTGAGAACCTCGCCAAAATACTTCGCCTGCTTCGACGCGGCCTCCAAGAGGTGGGCCGGCAGAGGGCCGGCCTCCTTGACGGGGCCAGCCTCGTCATTCGCGGGGGTCCGCTCACCGGCCATCGGGATGTCCGTCAACGGCACCGCGCCATTCGGCGCCCGGGCCTCGGGGGGCCCGGCCGAAGGCGAAGGCAGCGGCGGGGCGCAAGCCTCGAACATCGTCGCCAATTGCGAGCGCGTGAGCAACTGCACCAGGGAGTCGGCACAGTCGAACGGTCTCGCGGCCTGAGCGGGGCGCTCGAGCAATGAGCAGAATAGAGCGCGAGAAGGGGAGGGGGCGGAAGGGCGAAGGGACAGGGGAATGATGAACGGAAAACTAAGACCAGAAGAAAAGAAAAAAAAGGGAACGAGAAGGGCCGATGACGGGCGGGGGCCGAAGCAGCGGGGGAGAGGGGGGGGATAGGAGGGGGGGGAGGGGGGGGACAGAGACAGAGGCAGAGAGAGAAAGGGAGAAAGGGATAGAGAGGCATAAACAGCACTTCCCATCCGCCAGGCTCCAGAGGCCGCCCTCATCACGTCTGAGTCCCAGCGAGAAGCAACTCCCCGATCGCTAAAATCTGAAGCCGTGCGGCGCGACAAGGCCTGGGCCCGGGGCGCCCCGAACAAATGCCCTATGAGCAACAGCGCAGAGATATTGCAGCTAAAGGCCCCTTGAGCGCGATGTTGGCGCGCCACAAGAACGCGCAATCGATCTCGACGGGCGGGTCGGCCAGCGCGAAGGCGGTCAACGAGTTCCACTCCTCGTCGAAGCTCGCGAAATGCTTGTCAGCATCTCCTCCTTGGCGGTTCTTCCATATCTTATGAAAAGCTTACAGCCCATCTCCATCACCTGGAACGTTTTGGCAATGAGTTCGAAGGCATGCTTCTCTGTCTCGTCTTTGGTAGCTGCTGCTTTGTTGCGCGCAACCCCAGCCCAACGCACGAGGGAACGGGTCTTGGTCGTCGCATCGCTGCCAAAGTAATTGGACCGCTCGTTGCACTGCCTCCGCGAGCGACGATTTTCCTTCAACGTCTCCTTGACGTCCAGTTTTGGTCGACCTGCTGTTTTCTCTTGGTCTGTGTCATCGTCGCCTACTCCATCTTCTTTGTCACCAGTGTCACCCACCTTCGCCGCCTTTGCCTTTGTCTTCGACTTCGATGTTGCCTTTACCGCCTTTGTCGCGCTGGCTGAAGTTGCAGCCCTCTTGGCAATTGGCGCGCCTCCGTCGCCCGAGTAGAGGTCGTCGTCGGTGTCGGAGTCGTTCGCCGCCCGGACGAAGAAGCACATGGAATTGGCCTTCTTGGCCGGCGCCTTGGCCTTGGCGGCGCGCCGCTTTTTCTGCTGATGCGCCTTCTTCAGATTGGCAGCCTCGTTCTGTCGATCTTCTTCGTCCATCATGCATTCCTGGAGCACGCTGAACACGGCGCCCCTGCATGCGCTGTTGTACGCTTCCGCGCATGCCTTCGTCAAGTCGGCGAACTTCTCGGCTGCCGCGGACTCCCCAGACTCGCTGCCCAAATCCTCGGACTCCTCGTGCTCCAAGGTGGAACCGAGCTGAGTCTTGATCTTCATTGGCTCGTCGCCTTTCGATCCTGGGGCGGCCGCGCCGCGGATGCTTTCCATGACGCACGCGACGTGGTTGAGAGCTTTATTTTTGGGCAACTTCGGGTCACCGAAAAGTTTGCGACACTGCGCCATCGGGTAAAATAAATCATCAGGTTTCTCCAGGAAACGATTCTGATACCTCTTCTTCCCCACGTGGAACCTCTGCTTCGTCTTGCGGCCTGAGGGCCGCGAGCAACGCGACAAGGCCGCGGCTGCAGCCTTCCCCAGCCCGCCCTGTGGAGCCCTGCCCCAAGGGCAAGCCGGGGCCGCGGGGGGGTCCGAGGTCGGCGACAGCCGCGGACTTGAAGTGGGGGAGAGCGGGGAAGGCGAGAGCGGCTGCCGAGCCTGGACTCCTCTTTGTCTTCAGCATCCTCTTTATCACGGACTCCTTGGTCTCGCTGCGCTTCTGCTGGAAGGCCTCCCTTTTCGTGTTGTCCTTGCCAAGTTGCTTGGCATAGTGCTCCCTCTCCTGGTCAGGCCCCTCCTGCAAGTGCCTCACTTTGGTGCGCCAAGTCTTGCCGCATAGCCAGCAACACGAGCCCTGCGAGGACGAGGGGGCCGACGCGTCCTCGGTGTCGCACTCCCACCTGATGACCTTGCGCTGTGGGTCGCACGGGTCAGGGCTCTCGTTCCAGATCGCCCCGCACTGCATGGCGCAGAACTTCTTCGGCCCCTTCCGCTGCTCCGTCACCTGCCCCGAAGCAGCGCGAGGGGCAACGGCGGGGGGCGCAGCAGGATGACGGCGGCGTCGGGCGTCTTGGCTGGGCGGGCCCGCGATCGAGGAGAGAGGAGGGGAGGGCCGGGCGGGCCGGGCGGGCCCGCGATCGAAGAGATCGAGAGACACGAGAGGCGGCGAAGCTCGAGGCAATAAAAACCTGGAGGGCCGAGAACAAACGAGGGGCGAGGAAGGGGGGGGCAAGGCAAGGGCACAAGTGGGGGAAGGGAGACGACGGCGAACAGGGCGGAGACTACAAATACCGCCCGATTCGCCAGTGGACACCTCAGGCTCATCTGCCTCGCCTGCGGCGTCGGCGCCCTCGTGCGCAACCGACGGGCGGTAGCCGCGGCGATGTCGATGCGCCCGCCTCCCCCTTTTGCCGCCCCCTCCCCCCGCACTCACCCGCGCCCCCGCAACGTCGCTCTGGCGCACGCCGCATGGCTGGGGGAGCATCGCGGGAGAGGCGGGGGCGGGCGGGGGCAGCGGGCGCGGCGACGGCGCTGCGGCACGCGCGCTTCGACTGTGGACCTCGGGCGCATCCTCTAGCGCGCCGGCCGCGTCTCCGTCGGGCGATCTCTGCCTCTGCTTCTGCCTCGTCTTCTTCGCCCTGGAGCCCTCGCAGCCCTCGGGCGGCTCCGGGGGCGGGGCGCACGCGGATCCGCTCGAGCCGCTCGGCGGAGCGCCCCGCGCGCCCTGGCGGGGCGAGAGCTGGGCTGGGACGAAAGACGAGGGAGGGGCGGGCAACTGGCTGCCCTCCTCCTCCTCTCCCCTCCTCCTCCTCCTCCCCCTTGCGTAGCCGACCCCCATCCATTGACCCTCCTCCTCCTCCTCCTCCGCCTCCTCCTCCCCCTCCTCCTCCTCCTCCCCCCTTTAGCCGTAGCCGTGGCCCTCTTCCCCGTTTCCCCAATCAACCCCTGCCCGTCCTCTTTCAACCCGCCCTTGGGCGGGTCAGGCCCTTCGCTCCTGGTCGTCCGCGACCTCCTCCTTCTGCTCGGCGACCTCCCCCTTCTTGGTGCGTTCCTTCTTGTCCGCGACCTCCTCCTTCTGCTCTTTCTTATCCTTCTTCTCCTTGCCCTCCTTGGACCTGTCCTTGTCCTTGTCCT